CTGGAACTACAGGCGTGCGCCACCATGCCCAGCTAATTTTTGTATTTTTAGTAGAGACGGGGTTTCACCGTGTTGACCAGGATGGTCTCGATCTCGACCTCATAATCCACCTGCCTCGGCCTCCCAAAGTGCAAAGTTTTCTTAGTGGGCAAGGGACTGATGGTGTATTCTTGAGGTCATACCTCATTAGTACATAAAAAACCACCTCGTTCTTCTTAACAGCTACATAGTATTCCATTGAATGAATGGATTATAATTTATGCAATTAATCCCATACTCTTTGACACTTGGTTTCGTTTGCAATTTTTCAAATCACACTGCAATAAATAACTTTTTACATCTGTACAAAATTTGGTTGCATCAAAAGATATACATTTTGAAAATTTTGATAGATGTTACCTAATTATTAACTTAGGCCCTTCTCAATAACAAGAGAGCAACTATTTTGGAAGCTATAAGGAACCAACTTTTTCCATATCAGTTGGATAAGATTTATGGATGGCTCTCTTGATTATCTGACAAACCCACATACAGACCCTCCAAATGCCCATTCTTTATCTGCTAAGTGATTAGCTGAACTGTCAATGCCACTGACCAATCTGGACAAAAATATCTACTAACTTGACTTGACCAAACTTTAGTCAGGATTTAGCCCTCCCCATAGGCCCTAGAACCTTGACCTATTCTTGGGCTTCAGCAAGCATCAGCATGCTGAACAACTTTCAGGGAAAGATGTTCCCTGATTTGATCAGCTATCTGATCAGATTACCCCAACTCTTCATCCTGCTTTCCCATACCTGGCTTGTTCTAGCTTTATTTATTCCTTGCTAACAAAGAAAACTTTTTTGCTTTATGTTTGAGATATAAATCTTATGACTTCAGCATTTTCCCTATTGTAATAGTCTTTTCAAATAAAGTGTCTCCTTACCTAATTCCAGATTTACTTTTTATTTGACAATACTAACCTTCAGGGCTTCCTGGAGCTTGCATAATCTACTTTCCAAAATGCAAAGCTGTTGTTTTAGACTGTAAAGTTCTCGGTGGCAGATACGAGATGGAAAGATGGTGTCTTTCAATACTTCTAAACTCTGAAATGAATAATAAACAATGCTGAGTCCTATGAGTAATATGATAAGGACAAGAAAATAGGAACCAGAAAATGACTTGATGTATGTTTTATAGAAGCAAAGGCAGACATTACTCAATAATTTCATCTTATCTGAGTTTAGCCCGAGGGTTGGACTGACCTGAGCACATATGTACATAAACACCAAGTGTGTAGGAAAACTATACTGCTGAAAACAGGGATGTCACGTCCGTACCTGAGTTATGCAGTTCTGACACGAGCTGTATATAGACCATACTCTATTTGTCCAAAGTTTTATTGCACCTCTGATGTTAGGAAATTTGAAGTTCCAGGATGATCTTAGCCAGCTTCTGATTTGAGATACATCTGTTGAAGAAATAATGACTCTGTAGGAAAAACAAAGTGAAACAAATAAAAAAACTCTAAGTTAGAATAATAGCCTTGGTCTGGCATGGTGGCTCGTGCCTCTAATCCTAGCACTTTGGGAGGCTGAGGTGGGCAGATCGCTTGAGACCAGGAGTTCGAGACTAGCCTCTGCAACATGGTGAAACCCTGTCCCTATCAAAAAAAATATAAAACTTAGCCAGGCATGGTGGTGAGCACCTGTAGTACTAGCTATTCAGGAGGCTGAGGTGGGAGGATGGTTTGAGCCCGGGAGGCAGAGGTTGCAGTGAGCTGAGATGGTGCCACTGCACTCCAGCCTGGGTAACAGAGACAAATTCAGTCTCAAATACTACTACTCTAATTAAACGAGAAGGTGGTTGTTTAGTATTATTCAGAAGCAGAGACTCCCTATAGCCAAACTCTTCATTAAATTCTAGAATTCAGGGATTTATTTATTCAACATATATTTACTAAGTCCTACTATGTTCTAGGCACCAGAGGTTCAGTAATGCTCAACATAGATAAAATATCTGCCCTAATGGAGTTTACAGTTTCAATAGGAAAGAAAGTAAAAATAAATAAATAAAAATATGGTTGTTAGAGAATGAATTAATGTTAAGGAGAAAAAAAGCAAGAGAGGAGAGGAAATGTGAAATGTTAGATGGGGTGATATTTTAGATACCAAAGTCTCACTGAGAAGATGACTTTTGTTTACCTGAGGAATGTGAGTCCTTTTAAATTGTCAGGCCCAGAGAGAGATTAAAATGAGACGGCAATGACATTCTACTCCATGCTTTGAGCTATGTATTCATCCCTTGAAATTGCTTGCTGTTGCCACAAGTAGCTATAAATTAACCTAATAATGCCACATGACACTATAATCTATGCCCTATAGCTTAACAATGTGTAGCCAATCACTAATCAATGTTATTTCTGTAAACTGAGAATTCCTGCCAAATGGTTTTATCAGCCCACTCTGTGTGCCCCCTTTAAGCCTTTAAAAACCTGCTGGTAGCAAAGGCTGAATGGAGTTCGTATTCAAGTTTACTTTGGTCTTACTCTTCCAACCAGCTGCTCTCATTTGGGCTCAAGTAAACTCTTTAAGTTATATTTTGTGCCTAAGCATCTTCCTTTTAAATTATCAACAGAGAAAATAGTAAGTACAAAGGCCCTGAGGTGGAATTTTGCCTGAAGTATCTGAGAAATAGCAAGTAGGACAGGATGACTAGGGTGGAGAGACCTTTTAGAAAATAAGGAAAATAAAAAATTAAAAAGAAGAAAAAAACTTAGAGGGCCGGGCGCGGTGGCTCAAGCCTGTAATCCCAGCACTTTGGGAGGCCGAGGCGGGTGGATCACGAGGT